GGTTCGAATGACAATGGATGTCTTTGCTCTCAGATGGAAAGATGTGATTGATGCGCTAAGTGGACTCTCTTTAGAATGGGCTGTTGACGCAGAAGGATGTGTCATGGACCATTTGAACTTTAATATCTATAGTTTTGTCATGTGTACAAACACGTAGTTATTGAATGTTATGTTTTGTCAAGTGTGAAAATGGAAAATAAAGTTAAAAAAAACAAGTGTAGTCAACTAATACTCCCATGCCATGCATGCATTAGTGTTCACTAATTATGTTAGAATTACCTTATCTTTTTTGCAAGTTCATTATTGCCATGGTCCATTTATATTTTACTTGCCTGATTGCGACGCCGAGGGTCGGGCATGGCTAACACTGGTGCTATAGCATCTCAAAGACAGGAAACTCTTAACTTCTACACTACATATCCATCCAAAGGTGTTGAGTCATGTTACTATGCCCAATATCGGCTTATTACGAGAGTTGTACTGAGCCAACTGGTCACGTATTTTAACAAAGTTAGGCCGCATTCTTATTCGGCCTGAGTAGGCGCACTTCTTCGTTTGCTTCGCTGCTTCTTCCTCATTGGTTTCGCTAATTCTTGTGTTTGGAGTTAGCTGAGCACTGCCTACAGCACGCGCAATGCCGAGGTCGGGGTTTGCTTCCTGATTTATTTCATCAAAGGCATTTCATATTGGTATTGATCACTTGTCAATCGCTATACATATTACTGTTGAATTATGGCCCGGTCCTAATTCAAATTAGTGTTCAACAACATCAACAGCATTTACAGCCACAAAATAGAACATAATTTGTCTCTTTGGTAGGCAACACTTATCAAAAGACAGCTGGGGGGGTGAAAAAAAAAACAGATTGGATGGCAGTTAAGAGTGCACACACACTGATTCTTTCCAAATGGGCATTGTGAACTACTGGTCAGGCATGCATATGGTACTGAACACCCTTACTCACAAAAACCACACAGCTGGTACACAACAAAAAATGTCAACGTCTCAATAACTCGTCATGTGCCCTTGAGCATCAATTACAGCTTGACGACGTCTCATGCTGTTCACAAGTTGACTTATTATCTGCTGAGGCACGGCATCCCACTCTTCTTGATGGGCAGCCCTCAGGTGATTGGGGTTCTTGGGTGCCGAGTTTTGAGCCTCTAAACCAGGGGTGTCCAAAGTCGGTCCTCAAGGGCCGCTGTTCTGCCTGTTTTCCAGCTCTCCCAGGAGCAACACACCTGATTCAAATCATCAGGATCGTTCTAATGCTGCTTAAGAGCTGGCTGATGAGCTGATCATCTGAATCAGGTGTGTTGCAGGCGGGAGAGCTGGAAAACAGGCAGGACAGTGGCCCTCCAGGCCCAGAACTGGACATGTCTGCTCTAAACGGCGACTCAACTGATTCCACAAGTTTTCAGTATGATTCAGGTCTGGAGAAAGTGCAAGCCATTCGATTTGAGGTACACCAGTCTCCAACAGCTGTTCCCTGATGATGTGACTGCGATGAGCTGGAGCGATGTTGTCCATGAAGATGAAATTAGGACCGTGTTGTTCATGTAGGGGCACAATCACTGGATTAATTATGTTATTCAGGTCGTATGGGCTTGTTGCTGTACCATTTACAAAATGTAGGGCAGTTCTGTAGCAACTGGACACATCTGCCCACACTGTAACACCGCCACCACCAAAAGCTTGTCTGGTGACAACAGTGGCTGATGCATAGCGCGCTGCTTGGTGTCTCCAACATCGTTGCCAGCCGTCATGTCTGCTCAACATGAATCGACTTCCATCAGAGAACAGCACTGAGGCCCACTGGTCCCTCATCCAGCGTAAATGCTCCCTCGCCCATGCAAGACGATAATGCCAGCGCCTGGTGGTGTGGTCAGGTACCTTTGCAGGTCATGTAGCACGCAGATCACGCTGATGTAAATGGTTTCGAGTGGCCTGACGCAACTCTTGGGTGCCTCCCGTAAATGTGCCTGGAGTTGAGTGACATTTATCATCCAGTTTCTCAGGGTATTGTTCAAAATGTAGTGGTCATTAGCATGGGACGTAGTCAAAGGACGTCCACTTCTATGTCTTTCTGTGACTCTTCCAGTCTCTCTGTATCTCTGTTGAAACCTTCTGATTACACTCTAAGCTCAGTTACCATTTCCATCTGAGTTACCATTTCCATCTGAGAACGTTCCTGTTTGAAGTAGCTGATTACACTCTAAGCTCAGCTACCATTTCCATCTGAGAACGTTCCTGTTTGAAGTATCACAATGGCAAGGTACTGTTGATCCATTGTTAGGTGCCGTCTTGCTCTCATGAAGTCAAAATGTGAACGGTATCATGAGGACGACTGTTTCAACAGAAGCTCTAATTGAATCCGGACATTTCGAGGTTGTGAATTTTGCTGTTAAGCTCCTCGTTAGATAACAGCAACTTGTGTAAAAAGTACTGAAACATATAGCAGTTGGACATGTGCATTCAAAGGCTTCGAGAAGGTTGCATTAAGTTCACCGGTAAAGGTTTGAATGCATTTTAAGCTCATCCTGAAATTTCACCCGAAAGCCAAATATCCCTAACTTTTTGTGAGCAAGCAGACACTAGCTTCTGTCCCCTCTACCTGTTCATCATCGCTTTCCTGTGAAAAAACACATATACCAACACATACAATGGTATTGTCATTTGTCATTTCATTTTTTTTTTTTTGGATTGGGGTGTCCCGTGTTTCAAACAAGCGATTAATGTAAAAATGTGAGAGAAAAAAAGAAAGAATGATAATGGACATAGGTGTTTTTCACAGGACAACGATGATATGGCAGTATATTGTGGATTTTTTAAGCTATTGTTTTAGTAAGGGTTTTTAATAACACGCAGGCAATGCGTCATTTTGAGTTTTCACCTTCACTGTGGGACCACATTTGGCACAACATGCTGGGCAGCACTGAAGTCTACTTTAAGAGAAGAGAGGCTAATTAAGAGGAACAAGATGAGGCAAAGATCCCCAACTTATCGGCAGTAAAAGTCATTCCCACAGAGCATATTTAACATTGATTCTAATTTCCGTTAACCAATCTGTGGCAGTTTAGATTATACATTGACATTTCACTCATTTTTTTTGTTAGGTGAAATTATATGATTTGGTTGTAAATTTTGGTGCTTAAATATACAAAGTTCAATCCGCTTCTTCTGCGTGTCAGTTTTATGGTAAACTTCAACTGAGAATGACAAATAGTTGGAAGCAGGCACACTCTTGTTTGAAGAACTGTGTAAGTTAAAAGGTGTGAACAGCTACCAAGAATTTAAGAGGTGTTTTTAATAAGTTTAAATAAGTTTGACTAGTTTAAATTTGGGAGGGAAGAGAGGTAAAACTACATAAAGAATTTCTGTATCTCTCAATATTGCAGGTTTTCACATAATGCAACGCGGTGGGTCTGGAACGCATTACGTAATACAAATACAGGACTGCACATTTTCCATAATTTCTTGTGGGTTTTTGTGATGGTATAGTGTTTTGACAATCTGTATTTGAATTGAAAATATCTGTTTGAAAACTTTTCAAAAAGTCCAAATTACTGTCACACCATGCCCGAAGAATTGACTCATTCAAAAACGCAAATAAAAATACACCATAGTTTTATGACAGTAGTTCAGGAGGACTCCCAAAATACAGGACAGTATATTACAATGCGAAAATGCACTTTCAGACCATTTCGGCAGCCAAAAATGTTCAGTGAAATCTGGACTGGCCTGGTCGGACAGCATCTGACAGTAGATACAGCGACGCACTGGCCCCATGTATATTCAAGACAGTAGAGCTGATCAGATGATATCCTGTCGTGTCTCTCACATTTAGGGAATCAGAAGGGAATTAACGAATAGAAGTGATTGATAGTTTCAGCGCATTCAGCGGACACATCAACAGTTATTGAGAGCTAAGGGAACAGTTTGAGTTTTCAGAATTTTGAAGCCGTATTTTACTTTTCTTTTTAATTATTCAAATTTGGCAACCTTGTTTATAGCACTTGTGGTATGTGAAATTTATGAGTTTTATTTTTACTTTGCAGGGATTATAATTGCTCTTCCATTCAATGTCAGAAGGTACATGTATCCACTTTTTGTAACATTTGTTTGGTGGCGTGCCACAGTTATTCTCATGTAAAATGTGCGCCTTGGCTCAATAAAAGGCTGAGAAACACTGATGTAAGGTGTATAAACAGTAGTTATATGTCATGCCCCATTCACTGTTGTCATCAGTTTTCAGCAATTCTGAATTCTTCTAAATTACATTGGACAACACAACACACACACTACTTTAGTATTGCCTTCATTTTTCAAAATCTTAACTCAAAAACCAAAGACTTTTCACACACACACACACACACACACACACACACACAAAGGAAGGGATAATTCTCTCAAATAAACAAAAACCGGCAACATTTTACAATGACCTTTGATGATGAGTAGCCGAAGGCACACCTGTGCAATAAGCATGTTCCACTGCATGAGGAAGATAATGGACACTGACAGATTTTCTCATGCCCCGGGATCTCCACAACACAGTCAAACTTATTTCACCCAGGGTTAAGTGCCCTACACAGATTCTGATAGATTTGTGAACATTCTTAGAGAGCAATTGGACATTTGTGAACATGGGTTTCAGTTCATGTAAATTGTTAACAAAACCGCGTCTTGCGTTTGTATATTTTTGCCTTCTGAGCAGAAATGCTCACAGCGACGAGCCATTACACTGTGTAAACTGCAGGTGGTTATGCAAAGACAACACCCATACGAAACATCTGCAATTAAATTGTCGCCAGGTATTCATTCGTAAATGCTGTAAACGCCAGTCGTGAGCGTTACTACCAAACATTCCAGTACACATGCACGGCCTGTCAACATTTAACCTAAGCCGCAAGCGTGTTGACAGTGTGATCAAAAGACAGTCGTTCCAAGCATTAATAACGGTCATGGTATTTCAACAGGAACGTTTGTGAGGCCTTTACCTGGTCCATCCGACGCTGACAGGGCAGGTGAATTCAGTTTCGGCCGCTTTGAGCTCGGAGGTCCGACGTCCAGCAGATTTTCAGCCATGGTTAACTTCTCTCACTGGTCAGTTTCGACGAGAAGCTCAGTTCTTGTGTGACAAGCTAGTTGGCCGCTCGAGCGCAAAGCTTTCCGGCTAGCACATTAGCGAGTTGACAGCCAGCTAACGTTAGCTAACTGACTAACAGCTAGCGTGGACGCCAGCTATCAGCTAAGTTAACAAGCTAGCGTTAGTTAGCTCCTCCGTACTCTGCGAGTCGGTGTCTTCAAAAGAGATGCAATAGCGCCCCGCTCCGCCACCGCCATTCACCCCATGATAATCCAACACCCAACACCCACATTATTAGCATTAAATAACCCCAATTAAAAGATTCCCCATGAAAACATCGAACTTAAAGACGTCGATTCAATGAAATCAAGTGAACTGCTGCATTCCGATGAAAAGGTCGTAAATTCTAGTTGTTCAAAGTACCCATTTTGCGTGACGTCAAATTTCTTCATGCAAAAAAAAAAAAAAAAAAAAAGCCAGAAGCACCACATCAATGCACGCCTGCACGAAAATTTAGAAATTTTGCAATTCACTTCGAGAGCCACGGTCCGATACCAGCTTGCGCACGGTAAACAATGCTGCTCCCGAACGGCGACAGAGCTCAATCGCCGCACTCTGAAGGGGAAATCGGATATACCGAGCGTTTCTGTCCGACGACCACCGATCCAATTTCCCCTTTTTTCCGCACAAAATGTCTCCGAGTCGATGTTAAGATTTCATTTTCGGGGAGGGGATGCTGTCACACCGCGGCAAGCATGCACGATTTCAACGTTAAACCCAGTGTTGGACCGAAATCCCTATTCCGAGCCACAACAAGATGGCGGCTGTTGATTCCTTCAATACAAAAAAGTTTTTTTCTTTTCCAGATCGGCTGTGAAGGGGGAGGGGCCGCGCAATCACGCCCTATACGTGAAACAATACCCGGCCTCACCACGGGCGGCGCTGCAGCACTGTTAAAAAAACAAAAAAACATCCAAGTCTTAACCTGGATCCTTAATAGTTAGAAAACTATTTAAAACACAGACGCGCAACTATTGTCACTCTGTCTGGCATTTACTATTTTTGCTAGGCTTAATATAGAATGCATCTTTCAAAAATGTCCTTTGGAAACATACTACTACTCGAAAAATTGGGGCCATTCAGCTTTTTTGCCCGAGGCCAAAGAGTGTAAAGTCCCATCAGCAGTTTGCAACAGAAATGTAGATTGGGAGAGTCACAGAAAGGTGGGAAAGTGGACACCCTGAGAAGGTTTCATAGATTAAACACCTGTTGTAAATTTTGGCATTCAATTTAAGAGCTGGTGCAAGGTGTGAAAAAGGTACTGAAACATTCAACTGTTGGACATGTGCATTCAAAAATGCCGGTAAAATCAGATTAAGTTCACCTTTAAAGATTATTATGCACTTTAAATTCATCCTGAAATTTCACATATTTAAAGTTCCTTTCAGAGCACCGTAAGACTAATGATGAACCTGACAACTCTGTTAAAAACAAGGTATCCTGTAAAATGAAGTACACACGGTTGCAGAAAATATGGCTACAAAATTTTACTTATTGTAGTATAATATGCTGCATCTTGGCACTGATCTCTTTTTAGGAAATTTCTTTATTTAATATGTTCCGCATGTGACCTCTGCGTAGTACAGAGGGTGACTGAATTTGAATACATTTACCGTAATAATGTTTCTGGTGCATGCCTGACAAGATAATGTTATTCACCAAATAAGGCCATTCGGACTTGGATGCAGAGTTCTGCTCTGACAGCAAAAGCCCTAACCCAATTTGTATGCAAGTTGGAACATGCCAGAGCTCATTACTAACCTACACTAACACACTATTCAAGTAATTATTGCAGAAATTTTGTATAAAACCACTTCTAGGCTATGAACATAAAACAATTAAATGAGTACGGTGGTAAGTGAGTGTGGCTTCTTAGACGGCTTGGCCACGTCATTCATAACATCAAAACATCATACAGATGTAAACCGAGGACCCCTTGTCATTTGTGGCATGTCCACCCTGGCCCAGCATGATCCTGAGACACATTTTGGGGTCTTGTTTTTCCAGTTGACAATCATTATTTCAGAATATAATCTCATACTTCTCTGTTCGTGGAATGTTACTGTATAGTCAAATAGTCAAATGTTTTTTTATGAAATAAACCCACTGACCAATTGTCTCCTTTCATACTTTGCTGAGAAAAAAAACAGCAATCAACAGCAAGAACCACAACTAAGTTTGTAAAATTCAGGCAGAAAATAATTTGGTCAAACAGTTTTATACATAATCTCTATACACATGGAGGGGGTCGGGGATTTATCATTTTATCAAAAAACAAAGCTGTAATGCTCATAATTGACCCCAAAACGTCTTTATACAGTGTTCACAACAATTTAGTCTGCTTGCAGGTTTATTACGATCATACTGGAAAATAAGGAGTAATGAAAATCCTAACATTCACACTCAAATAGGCACGCATTGAATCATTTGCGAGAATAGGCGTCTCTTTTTCATAGTTTTATGGCAAAATCCAACACATGCTCATGTATAAAAACAATTACGCGACAAACTGATTGCATATGTACAAACATTGAGTGCTGTGTGCAAAATGTATACAGATAATGATCATGTGTTGATATAGGAAAATGGATAATGTGCACAAAACATACATAATACATCTCATGAGCATTAAACCAAGGCATAAAGGAAAAAGCATTGTTGTCAAACAGCTCTAATTTTTGCTGCAGTGTACTTAAAAAACAAAACAAAAAAAAAAACAAATACACTAAAATTAAGGGTTAATTATTGATAACGTGTCCACATTCATTTGACAGATTGTGATTGTGTTGTTGCATTGGTTTTAACAAGTGCTGGCAAAATGCTGATTTTGGTTGTTCCTTATTATGCTGGCCCAACAAAATGTGGTGCCTTATTTGTGTAATGCAACAAGCATTGTGTGGGGGGTGGGTTGTGGGGGGTATTAAACAAAGGCCACATTACTTTTTCTGCGAAACAGCTCTTGCAATACACAATATCAATCAATAGTGTCCTTTAAATGAGCCAAACTGCGGGACTTGCAATGTTTGCAGAGTTATCCAATACATTCATTCAAAACATTTGCCAAATGAGTGACGCTGAAACGAAGAGTGCGGTGCGAAAATCCTGAGGGGTCATTCGGAGTCAGGCTCTGTGAACCATGTTTGTCTTGCATCCTGCAAGGTTTGATGATGTATATTCTTTTATTCGTATAACAGATCAAGCAAATGTGGAAAAAAAATGTGAAAATACATTTTTGACACGAGCTGTGGAATTTGTCCATTCCAGAGACTTGCTGCAACACCGCAGATTTAATTAAACTGACGCCAAATGACCCTGCAACTTCATACAGGTATTCTCATTCTGCTTGGCTGCAATTGTATTGAGAGGCTAAAAGCTGATGAAAAGAGACAGTGAGAAAATAAGAGGACTAGACAAGGCTTCCAACCCATACTTAATTCACTTTGTGTGACTCTTGACTATTGCGTCTCCAAAGTCTTTATACCGCAGAGAAATGTACTTGCGTTGTAGTGATGTGATGCGTAACCACAGGCTACACACTGATGTAGCCTCAATGGTATTTCATTCAGAAGGCACTAGTAGTACAGTTTGGAGTGCACAAGGCCTAAGGTACTGAATACGATAAATCATTTCTGGCAGCTTCCTTAACTCTGCACTTTTGAATCCTGTGTATTGATGACAAGCAGTGACTTTAATCAATATTTTTAGACGAACCGGTTCCACCCAATTGTATTACGGAAGTTAAATACACAAAATGAATTTGTTTTTTTTTTTTGTTGTTTTTTTTTTGGGTTTTTTTTTTTTAAAGGATACAATGGTGCGGGATTTAAAGTCAACACAATGTGTATTTGTGATATATTGTCCGCCCGAGTCCATGGATATAGTGACCCTGTTATCAATGCAAGCTATTATCCAATGCGCTGCAATCAGTCCAACAGTGGCCCGGTGGCAGATTGATTTCCTTTTGTGCCTAGTTGCGGCGATTATATCAGCATTATTGACTTCAAGGAAAACTCTCTCACGCATAAAACACAACAAGTGCTTCGGTTGATGCAGGCGGCGCGCCACCACGTTAACCGAGGCAGGCAGTTAATGTGGGGTGAAAACATGGTAAAACTCTCAACTCAATTATCAGAAGAAATGCAGATACATTTACACAACCCCCCACCCCCAAACATACAACCGTCTATTCTCAGCTTTCTACCATACATTCAGAAAAGCAAACTCCTCAAAAAGACACTCCTACCTTTAGGCACCACAAAACAATCAACTAATTTAGGCTATGACGCACCTAAAGATCACACAATTAAAGTGGCACAATATGAAATCCATCGATACAGTAGAGGCCCCCCTCAATTTAGAGGCTGTGTCCCACACGTTTAACAATAATTCTAGAATAAAGAAGGAGAAAACATGGAAATATTGAATAAATATGACAGGCGAACTGACCAATGTGTTATTTCCCCCCGACTGACTAAGGCAATAAATGAGTGTTCTGTGCTTTGTTTCTTTAAAGTGAACAATCGCTGTCTACACAGTGATTGTCCCCTCACTTGATGTCCCCTCACTTAGAATCTTTTCAATACCATGCACTTGCATAGGCACCAGCAGATGACTGTTTAAAGTTGTTCACCGCACGCACGGATGTAATTTGTTGTTATTCGGATTTTTTGCAAAAGTAGTCAGACTGCAAAGATGTGGAGTTTGTAGTGTGACTGTTTCCTTTGAAAGTCAATGAGTTCTATTTTAAATCAACGGTGAGTATTTCATGCACACAAGATAGATCTTGGGTCACAGTATCAAGTCTAGTTAAAGTGCCTTCCTGCCATTTGTGATGATCTCCCTTTTTGCCCTAATTTAAATGTTAGATTTTATTTTGTGCTTTTGATTTGACTTGGCAAGAGAAAATACATTTTGTTTTAGCTATTTCACTTCTAAAAACAAGTGGTCGAGGGAAAAAAAAAACATTGTGCAAGACCTGTGCTTAAATGTGCATTTCCAACTCCATCGAATCTATGCAGCCTGCTTTGTAGCATATTTCTCTTAAAACGTGAGCACAAGTGAATACTGTATATAGCCCTCATGTCAAAGTAGAAAACATAGAAAAAGTTAACACTGCTTCATGTAATTCCCTCATTCTTCCCATAGTTCCCTGCTCATCCTGTAATGCTGCACTGGCACCTATTATTATGAATCTAGAATGATTTCCCCGTAAGATCAAGATCAAGTTAGAATTATATGGCACAACAATTGTTTTTGTTTTTTTTTTGTTTTGTTTTTTTTGCACTGAAAATAAAAGTGTTGTGAAAGAAACCTCAGAGTGTTCGGCAGTCTACATGTTATGGGCTAAAAAAAAAAAAAAAACACACACACACACACACACACACACACAAACACGCACACGCACACGCACACACATATACACAAAGACTGTTCAACCTTTGTTCGGTATTCAAATTTGTTCAGCTCTAGTCCTGAAGGCACTTAATAACAATGCGATTTAAAAAAAAAAACAACAACAACAAAATATGGTTTTGCCCCTTTTGCCCATCATCCTTCTTCTCTTCTGTGCTCAACACAAATTCAGTCTACTGCAACATTAAATTCCATTTAACAATGGATGTAGCGATTTTTCCTCTTTTACCTCAACCATTTTCCTCTTCTTCATGACTTGCCAAGAGGAAGGGACATATTGCCTGGACCAGCAACCAGCCCTTGGAGTGATAGCAGCTCAGGGCAGCAGAGGGATAAAACAAAAACCAAATGAAACAAAAAAAAAAAAAAATGGGATGGGGGATAAAGAGGATCAGAGGCGGGCGTAAAACTCCTCATTAAGTCTTGTTAGCTCATCTGCATCCTCGCCAATATCCTCGCCACGTGACTGCGCCTGAGCGGGTACTTGCACACCTTCTGAGGCTACGGGGTCAGAGATGGCATGAAGGAAGGGATGGTCTTTGGTGGATGATTCCCCAGCTTGGTTTGAAGGGTCCCTATAGCCTTCCTTCCCCGCTTCTGCGGACAAAGCCGAGATGGTCTTGGGCCTTACCGCACATGGTAAGGATGGTGGAAATGTGGACGGAGAGGAGGGAGGCTGGGGGACGGTTGCCTGGGCAACAGCTGATCGAGTGTTTGTCAATGATGCCGCTGGCGAGGGTCCTTCCCTGGCATTGAGCTCCTGTTGATCTTGGCACATGTAGTCCCCATTTTTAGGGAACAGAAAGGTCCTCATTTGGCCTTTTCCCTTCACATTCACAGTACCTCTGTAATCAAAGTCCAATCCCATGGCACTGAGCACAGCGTGGCTTTCTTCGCTCACCTGCACCCGACACTCCACACCAGTGGAGTCCATGCGGCTGGCAATGTTGACCGTGTCTCCCCAGATGTCATACAGCAGCTTAGTGGTGCCGATCACCCCCGCCGTCAGCGGCCCGTGGTTGAATCCGATGCGGAGCTTGAAACCGAAGCCCAGCAGGTTCTTGTTGAAGTCATCCAGTACGCCCATCATCTCCAGGGCAAAGTTGAAAAGCGCCATCAGGTGAGTGTGCGGAGCGTCCTCTTCATTCTCCCCCAGTTGCTGGACATTCAATCCAGATGCCGCCATGTAAGTGGAGCCGATTGTCTTGATTTTTTCCACGCTTTTGAATTCGTTTTTTCGAAGGAGCTCGTCAAAATCCCCAATTAGCTCATTGAGGACACGGTAGCACTCTTTCCCACCCTCGTAGCTCTCCTCATAGAAGTCACTGAAGTTCACGATACTGGCAAAGATCACACCCACACTGTCATGGTTTTTGGAGTAGCTCTGTGTTACCTGGGGACAATTAAACAAAGCATCAGAAGTTTGGACTTAGAAGTGTTACTCCATGAACATTTCTAGATGTCTAGAACAAATAACTATTGATGAAAAGTGATACGTTTAAAACGATTTGGAGTTTAAGGAAGAACTATAAAACAATCAGCCATTTTTGTGTGACATTATTGACAAAAACCTTGAGCTGGTCAGCAACATGGATGGGGATTATGTTGCCAAGTAACCACTCTGCCTGGTCCCGCATGGTCTGAATCTTGGAGCGGTGCTTGTCAGCCTCCACGTTGCCATGGTAATGCAAACGGTAGCTGACCTCAAACTCACGGTTTAGGAACCACACAAGGAGAAGAAGCAGAAAGAAGGCAAGAACCGCTTCTGGCACCAGAAGATCATGAGGTCTTAGAGAAGGGTCCTGGTCTGACCGTAAAGTTGACCCAACATTTGAGAATATGGAGATGTTTGATCTGAAGGACAAAATACATGGAAAGCAGAATCAAGACAGACGAATCCTTCAAACTCAACAGATACAACATGGATAATGCGACTTGAGAGGACGAAAGGAGGAATTTGACATCCCGTAGCAAAGTATAATTTTGAAAAATCTATACAAATACAATACAAGCCTCTCATATGATCAGCCTCTTAAAATAGTGGCCAAAGTCAAATTTGGAAAAAGTTGATTTTTTTGCCTTAAACATCTCAGATGCTGGCCACCTCAGCTAAAAGTGACTGCATCCATAGTTAAACAGATCATTTAGTTCGAGGTCTGAAATGAAATTATTAATTTCATTATCAGATTATCAGAATGTGGTTCAGTTTTTCGAAGTTCAGTTTTAAGAAGGTAATAATGTGATTAATGATTGTTTTCGTTCCCCAAAATTGTCAATTTTATCAACCATCATCATCACTGATATCATAATCTTGTGAAAAGATAAAGACAGAAACACAAAATTCTGTGAAAATATCCATGAAGATCAGCTATCTCAAGTGTACCACAATACCCCAATAGGGACGTGTTTGGTAGATCGACAGTGCAGGCTGTAGGTGTCATTACCAACACAAGTGACATTTAGCAGCCATTACTGCTGGTGCACAGGGAGAGAGATAAGGACAGAGGGCTTGCGCATAATAATAAGACAGAGTAAAAGCTAGCTGAAAGCTGCAGTTATGAAAACTGAAAAGCATGCCATTGCGCCTGTTGACCCTGGAAATGTCACTGGTCCATCATACACCTCTGTTCCCATGGAGACACTCACCCATGAACTGCTAAGTTGTTATTACTGGAGCTGAAAGAGAGAAAGTGTTGTCAATCAGAACGGCAGTCACGTAACACGGGTGCGCGCGCGCGCGCACACACACACACACACACACACACACACACACACACACACACACACACACACACACACACACGCACGCACGCACGCGCACACATTTGTTTGTCCAAACAAACTAGGACACTAATAACACAATATAGTATTATACTTTTTACAAATAAAGATTTTGACTTTGAGAAAAACTGACAAGACTTCAAGAAACAGTCTATCCTTTTGTATCAAAACTTGCACAATTTAGCTGAGAAGTAGCGGTAGCAGGGCTAAAACATTTAGCAGGAGAATTTTCATAACTGCAGCCTACATGCACAGGAGAAAAAAAGTATTTCTTGGCACGCATATCATCCTCCATGACCATGACAGCGCAATGCCCCCTTCAAACTTCTCAATATTTGGCTTTTACAGTAGGCGTGATACAATTGTCACATGCATACAGTATGTATGTACCTGTACCTGTGCAAAGGGCTGTACAGCAACAGCAACATGGTGATCCCAGAAACAGTGGCCAAAATCGAACGCATCCAAAAACTGAGTTGACAGAAGTTACAGTACTGGATGATGGCGATGATAGTGGCACAGCACAAGAACATTGTCAGCTAGAGGAAAGAGGGTAAAAACGGATTTCAACTTCAACAACTAGTAACCTCTTGACTAACTTGTAAAGATAATTCAGAGATGTGCTTCTAAATATATTCTACATGTTTGAAGATATTTGGCTAGTCCCACCTGGCTCTACCCCCCGCCCGCCGACTAGACTGTATAAGAACCTGAGCACCTTTGTCTGCATGGGTGGTTATCCAGCACATGTGTTTGTTACTGCGTCACTATTACTTTGCCTATTTCTGCAACTGCAGCATGCAGATAGCTAGCCAGCGATGTCTACACTCCCGAAAATGCCTCTTATCGTTATAGAATTCATGTAATTATTGAAATGTTTTTTGCTATACTGTATTTACAATTACACTCTCTAGTCCCACCCGTTCAAGGCTAGATCTGAGTGGTCATTTGTCACACCGATTAGATCAACCCCGGTTTACCTGAAGAGGTAGCTGAACACCGCAGGTCAGGTGGGACAAGACCGAAACAGCCGGTAGGGAAACCAACACTGCCCCAATCATGTGACGAGCGGCCCAGCCCGATACCACCAAAAGCAGGGAACGGGTACAGCTCATCACTTCCTCCAGATAGAAGGCCATGCTACAGGAGAGGAAAGTCACTCAGTCTCATTCACAGAAACGGTATCAAACTCATTTGTTACCAAAACATTGTTTGCTTTTGTCACTGCAAAATTTTGGAAAAGACTGTTTTAAGGAAAGATTTTTCAAAACAATTTGCACGGTTGTCATATAGAGGGGAAAACTGTTTGTTTTGGTTGATGTCACGATGACCACCATTTTTCGACATGAGCTAAATTTTATTTTGCTCCCTTTACATACTGTGATCAGTCTCACTTCAGAGCACACACCCCCCCTTTTCCACAATCCACTAATTTTGTCATTGCACCCACTTATCCTGTGATTACTTTCTACATACTTCTGACTAACCTAAACTGTGTTTTCATTGCTTTCATTATTATTGCTTTGGGTCAAGACTTATAACTAAGTCTAGACTATGATTACAACTAAAAGAACATTTTAGTAATTTTTGCCATCTACTGAAACTGGCACAGTCAACTGGGATGGGTTCAAACATGACAACCGAGTGAGAATAAGTGGTATAGAAGATGGATAGATGGATGGACGAATTAAACATCACACCCACAAAACAAACCAAAGCAGATGGTATTCTCGAACGGGATGAACTTCTCTCACAGACATTCCCTTTTATTAACTGTATTTGTGTTGCTGACATTGACATTCTGCATTATACAACATTCTTAAAAAAAACACCACGTCCCATCACTGGTGAGTTATTTTAACAACAGGCCTGCAGGCTACTCATGTTGTCCTTGGAGGCAACCTGGTGCCCACGGGCACCACATTGGTGACCCCTGATCTATTGTATTTAAGTAGGCTCACCGTATTGAGAGCACCAAGGAGGCCAGCTCCAACAGGCCGGCCAGAGGGGCTACAGCAAGTGACGCAGAAGATGGGGGGCCGACAGTGGCTGAGCTCACCAGTGGGGGGAGGAAACATGCCAGCGTGAGGGCCAAGAAGACAAAACAGCTCAAAAGAACGTCAAGGAAAGAGCTGAACGTGCAGCTTGCAAAGGTCTGTTCTTGGACCTGGTTTTTCACCTAAAGGAGAAGAATGAGAGAAGTGAATGGTTTGACTCAGCCTGAAAGTCCATCTCACTGCAACAAGCATCACACGTGCTTCCTTGCTGTATATGAACGACCTATATGAATGCTGAAATATATAAAACATATCTAACAGTTTTTAAGTATGTTGACTGAAAACCACATCCAGGTATATTTTACACATTACTCGTCATTCAAAACACTCCAATCTTAAATCATCTTTTCCCATTGAAATGAATGCAAATGCCATTAATTTGTACCAGCCTCTCTCCCAAAACAAAAAAATGTGTTTTTATTCTTAGAAAGCAAAAATTGTAGTATACTTTATTTTTTTTTAAAACAGCACAATCAAATAAACATTAAATTTAAAATTTAAACAGTTTGGCCATAATGATTTCATGCCTGCGATTGGCTGCCAACCAGTCCAAGGTGTACCCCGCATACGGCCCAACGATGGCTGGGATAGGCTTCGGCACGCTCCGCAACCCTTGTGAGGATCAGCGGATCAGAAAATGGATGGATGGATGGATGGATGGATGATTTAATGCTGCAATCCAATTCAATGTGCTGTGCCTGCCTTGGCCACCGGGAGGCAGGACAGTATACTGCAGTGCAGCTATGTGGCCATCAGGGAACCTTCTACTGCTAATGTGAGCGATCCAGTAATGTTGTATGTAATATTAGCTACTGCTACTTTTTGTGTACAATTGGGCTGACTGCCACCAGACAGTGCACGTATCTCAAGTTTGAGCTCACAAGTCAGAGCAAAAAAACTGTCCAAATAATGATGGCTCCTATCTCGAAAAACCCGTAATTCAGGTCACTCGAACATTTTAAAAAGCAAAATTAGGAACATAAAAATAGGCCATTCAACCACTGGGTTCAAGGTTGCTTTCAAGTCTGCTTGGAAACAGGACACCTAAAGAGGTCAAACCTCAAAATGTTCCAAGCAAAAACATTTAAAAAAAGAAAGAAAAAGAAGAAACAAGCAGAATCTGTGATACGCTTGTATTTGCTTTGTTTGTAAAGAGACAAATGTGACTGTCAAGCAACACTAAACAGGGTAAGCGTTAAAGACAGATATGTAAAATGACCGAAAAATAATGGGGTGGCATGGCTCAGGGGTCGAGTGGTCGCCTCCCAACCCAGAGGTTGTGGTTTCGATCGATGTCAAAGTGTCATTGAGCATGATAGTTAACCCCCCACACATGTCCCGATGCTGCGTTATTAGTGTGACAGTGAATGTGAAGTCAGTGTGACGCGCTTTGAATGCCTTAATTGGTGAAAAAGCGCTTTATAAGTGAAAGACCATTTACAACATATGCCAGTTTCATCTTTCAGTTCACACCACCAGTTTTGTCTTATGTCAGACTGACGAGGTCCATAAGGACAGCTTAATTAACTAATTAATCTTTTAGAAAGAGCGTGAACTACTTGGGTGCTACAAGCAGTAGCAGTCTTTATGCATTCTCACTTGATGTGGTTTGAAGATGAACAACATGAAGTCAGCTATGGAAAGCTAAGCTTCATTAATGCAAACTATAGCAGGTGCTTCTGGCAGCCTAATACGAGGCTGTCATGAAACAGCAGTTGGTAACATCTGAATAATTATAATGTGGTGAAACCAACAATTGATTTTTTATATATATATATATATGTGTGTGTGTGTGTGTGTGTGTGTGTGTGTGTGTGTGTGTGTGTAAAATACTGACACATTTTCAGATCATTTCTCCACATCGTGGAAAATTCTTGGTGTTTACGCAAGTGATGTGACGTGTTTGCACCTCATCTTTGTAGCTGCTGCGATATGCTGTCTCCAGGGGTTGGTCTAGAAAGTTCAGGCTGATCTTGTTGATGGGTGGTTTGAAAAAATAATCCTTCATCAGACTGGAAACAAGAGAGAAATACCAAATATATTGAAGACACCGCTAGTGCTCACTAACGCTGGAGCCGCCGCTAAATGCTGGCAACAGGTGCCGTACGATATGTTAAAAAACTAGAATTTCAGCCGTATTAAATGCGGAGGTAATATGTTTAAGATAAGAGAACCTTATTCGTCTCACAATTTAGAATCTGCAATTGGACATTTCTTTCACAGAAAGTCTGTCTACTATTGGATAGCACGACTTATAGTGGTTAGCAGCTCTGCCTCACACTGTGATCCTAATGGCGACTTATATTTTATATGGTTGAATAACTATAATAACAGAAAATTCTTGGTTAGCAGCTCTGCCTCACACTGTGATCCTAATGGTGTGTAAAATACTGACACATTTTCAGATCATTTCTCCACATCGTGGAAAATTCTTGGTGTTTACGCAAGTGATGTGACGTGTTTGCACCTCATCTTTGTAGCTGCTGCGATATGCTGTCTCCAGGGGTTGGTCTAGAAAGTTCAGGCTGATCTTGTTGATGGGTGGTTTGAAAAAATAATCCTTCATCAGACTGGAAACAAGAGAGAAATACCAAATATGTAGTATACTGTATATACAGTATATAAACTATATATATATATATATATATATATATATATATATATATATATATATATAAAAGAGAAAATGAGAAAATGTTATGATATTTTTTTAAACATACATAACCCATCATTAATGTTTGGGCAGACGCCGTACTCAGTGACACTTGTGAGTCTGTCCAAACATTAATGACGAGTTATGTATGTTTAATACATAACCCGTATGTCTGTCTCGATATGTGCCCTGTAATTGCGACCAGTCCAGGGTGTAGTCTAGCGATTGCTCAAAGTCAGCTGGGATAGTCTCTAGCTCCCTGCAATCGTAGACAAGACGGGCACTATAAAAAAATGGGTGAATGGACAAGTATGGATATTATGATTCCATCCATCCATCCATTTTCTGAAGCGCTTATCCTCAAAGGAAACCGCAGTACCCGGAGAAAATCCATGAAGGCACAGGGAGAACATGCAAACTCCACACAGGAGGGCCGGAGCCCAATTCGAACCCCGCACCTCTGTACTGTGAGACCGACGCGCTAACTAAGCAGTCGACCACCGGGTCGCCCGGATAGTATTATTATTAATTCTATTGAATATTATCATATTAATTAATTAATGTAAGGATGGCGGCCCAGTAGTCCAGTGGTTAGCATGTCGACTACCTCCAATCCTTGAGAAATAAAATGACTCCCATGAAGCCTGACCTTATTTTCTTCAGCTACAATATCAAAAGCGGAGAATAATGCCATTGTTTTAGAACAGGGGGTCACCAACATGGTGCCAAAGGCCAGCGGGCTGTTCTAAAAATAGCTCACCAGTGCGAGGACATTGTGATTTTCTAGGAATGTTGTAGAAATAATCATTTAGAAACGCACACACTGGCAGTATTATGAGACATCTTCAACATGATTAGAGTCTGATAATGAATATCATTAAGTATGATTAACAACACATCCGAATATTTTTAAAGGTACTGTAAGTTGAGCAAATATGTTGTTTCAGACGTGCAGCAATTTGGGAGACCTTTGCGCAATCAGTACACAAGAAGTATCGCACTCTCAAAATGGTTGGTAACCCCTGATTCAGAACATTTCACCATTGCTATGCAAATTAAGTCACGTTTCACTGGCATTGGCAGCTGACAAATTCCACTTGCTCACCTGTCCTCTCTGATAACATCGACAAAGTGGACGTCGCTCTTTTCTCGAAAGTTCTTGGCACGCAGCTGAATAAGGGCAGAGTGCTCCATGCCTGTACCCGGTGGTCCAGCGCCAACTGCCATGGCAACACTGGCGCCGGTCATCGTGCTCGTGCTCGTCTTCTTCTCTTTCTCCTGGAGTATGTCGCACAAAGAGCTCTGACTTGCCCTCACTGGATCATCCAGTGTGGGGCTCAGGAGGCCATTGGCCGTCCTGAGGCTGTTACCGGGAACGAACTGGAGACAGACGACAAAGAGAATAAAGACACAAAGACATGGGCATGATGGACGTCGTCTTGAAGGAGTGACAGACACATTCACTGTTGCAGGTATAGCGGCACCTTAGCACTGCTAATCTTGCGCTCATCCTGGCAGCCGTTTAGCGCAGCCACTTCATCACTCTGTTCTGCTGCTGAAGAACTGACCTCAAGGCGGGAAGCAGATGGTTGCTGGAGAACAGAAAACTTCACACGTCAATGGTTTGGCTTCTGGACTTTATTGACTTTTGGTCAGTGTGGGTCATAAGACTTGTCTTGTTGTATTGAGATGTAGCTTCAGGTTATGATTTTCACCAATAGCTGTCTGTGATCCAGACTAATACGGATATTTTACACACAGTAAAATTAAGTCAGCAGAATACACAAACGTAAATTTATTTCATTTTGGGATTAGGCTGTCGTGTAACAAAATGTGTATCAAGTGAAACGCTGTGAATACTTTTCAGATGCACTGTAATTCCGGTGTGTTCACAATTACATGCCAATTTTGGTTAGCTTAGCAATTAGCATGGCTTCTCAATCTTTCCTCATCATCCCTTCGTGAGAACGATACTTGTCAGATGTGTAGCTTGTTCACAGCCATGGAGGCAATGGTTACTGACTTCGGAGCAACTCCATGGCGTATTTAGCCACATCAGCTACCCAGCAGTAATAACTGTTCATATATTTATCTCAAAGAAAAAAATACTTGGTGGCCTTTTCTACATGAGCAGTAGTTAATGGATGATCGTCACTTTATAAAGCGCCATTAAAGATTTAGCATTCCATTGTGGCCCTCAGCCACCCATAAACCAGCCAGGCCCACCGGGAATTGACCCAATGTACTCCTGGCCTGGTTATGATCAGATAAAGATATTAATGGTTATAATGTTAGAAGTCCAATGGGAACAAATGGCCAAAACTGTCCTCAGTTTTTATTATAACGTACCCCTGTCTTGTCTGGTGGTTGGTTGGGCAGCAAGGGTTCAGCAGCTTGGCCACCTCCGTGGATGATTTCAGGAGCATGGTACTGTGTACAAGCGGGCAGGCTCATCCCAACAAAGTCAGTTTCCATCTGAGAACAGCCGTACTGCACATCGTATCCTAACTTCTTTCCTGAGATCAGGTAGGTTTTCAACCCTGTGGAGATGCAGCAAGAAAAAAAAAAATCTTTGATCGCAACTTTGTATTACAAGCAGGTGGTAATGCAACTCTGCTTGTTTCCCCAACTCTGTTGACACATCATCCCAGAGATCACGTTCACACCACTGTAGGACCAACAAGGAAATACGCAAACAGTGGATTATAGCGGTATCAGCCTGTCCAAATACACACTACTAACCCAACTAGATGGCCTTTGGGCTCTTACATCTGAATGTGCTACAAGTTGGGTGGCATGTGCGGAGTCAGCTGATCAGTCTGAGCTGAAAAAGATTGGATTTGCTTATTTCCTGAATTTTTCAAAGTAACAAAGTGAGAACATAATCCTGAAGTGCAAAGATCTTGCCAAATTGAGGAGCAAGAGCTTATTTTATCCTACACAATGTAACCTTTCAAGGTTTTTTTTTTAGTGTGAGTATTGTAAGAGTGACAGTGTAACAGAGCCGTACACGCAATGCAGTCTGAGTGTCTGCACTCTGCAGCACAGCACTAAAGCGGACAGCACTTTTGTCTCCAAAACTTGAATTTGAAGGAAGGAATAAATTAGCTTTTTCTCTCATTAAGAAAAATATGCTATGGAACAAGATGTGAGAACATTTTGCTTAAATTGACAAAAGACAGCAGAGTTCAGAGACTCGGACTTGAGTCAACTTGTGTTGCGAATTTTGACCAGTGGGAGGATGATTCACTTCGCTCCCTGCGATTCAAATCACAATATTTGTGTGACGAATAGATTCATACCACGATTAGTGATTATACTGTAATTTGCGATGCAATATCACAGTTATTGGTATTTTTCTCAAAAAAATAATTTTCTTATAACAAAATATCCATCCATAGATGGATCTATGGATGGCTTTTTAAAACTATTCTAAGCAATACGAACCATAAAACAATACATAAATTGAATCATGTACTTCAGTCAATGCAGCCAGATGAAAGTCAATCACTGTTTCTGACAATGATTTCAGAAAGAGCCACAACAAATCGGCTCCGTGCTGCCATCTGCGGAAGGTGGAGGAAAGTGGGAGCTTCACCTTTGCTTTTTGATAAATCATGAAAATCGATTCTGAACTTTAACATTGATGTCTTGAATGCCGATAGTTGAGTGAATCGATTTTTTTTGCACACCCATAATTTTGACTTGCAACTTGCTTGACAAAAACTCCTCAAAGACTCGACTTTGACTTGGCATTCATCTGACTTGACATCTTGTATACATTTGAAAATCAATTTTTCGAATACTTTTGACACTTGATTATTTTCAGGAGAATATGTATAGTGCCTTTGGTCAATTAATTTTTACTTTACTTTACCCAAACAAAAAGAGATGAACCCATTTCCCCATTATAAATCGAATGAATGTAGTCCAAGGAAACATATTTGATTAAGGGTTCGGCCTGTTTTAGATGTGACAAACATTCTGTGGATCCGCACGTGGTAGCATGTGCGTCAGTCTGATGCTGAGTGGGTGTGCTCATGAAACAGTTTGTGTACTAGAGTATATTTGCTAAATTTTTACTAAAACAAACAAAGTGAAACAAAATGTGTTTGCAAATATGTTTTATGTGTGTGGTTAGCCACGACCAATTACATTTTCCAGACAGCATCATTACCATTTAGAAAATCATTTAAGCCATTTGTCCTGCTGGTTTCCAAATTAAGTTTACACACTCAGCTGCCCAATTCAACCACACAAATCATAAAGTCAGTCAATGCATGACATTGAAATTCTGTTAATTGTTTTTATTTTGCAAACACACACACAGAACAGCAAATTGTTGATAGCGGAACCAATATCCATGACTGACTTTTACCACCGTTCTTTGTCCGACTTGTTTATCTTCCTAAAATGAAAATGCGCCTTGACGTGTGAAAAAAGACATTTTTATCTGAGTCAGCAAGTAGAGTCAACTGGGCAGATATTCTCATCTTTTATACCAGCAGCAGGCCTTACTGTGGGATTGACCGACATGCAGCAAGATGACAGGACTCTTGGCAAAAGACACCCATAAGGAAATACCGTATGCATCATCTGCTTGTCTGACTGAAGGAATATGGCATGTTTTAACCCACACGTGCATGCACAAACACAGACAAAATTGACATTTCCTTTTAGGACTCATGTAAAGTAGTGCAATGTTGTAGCATTATATTTGCCCCACGTATCTTATTAGAAAACAAGCCAACAATGATCTTTCATATTCACACGTAAAGTCACACTGGTGTTCAAAAAATGCTCTCACTTGAATGAATGAAGAAATGAATGAATGAAGAAAAGAATGAATGGAGAGCAAGCATAACCGTGCCGTGAAATTCCACATGCGCACCAGAAGATCATAAACACCATAGACACGCACCTCAGAAAAACACTATTCTATCGCACACTCTCTAACTTCTGACTACCACGCATGGACATATCGCACTTGCGCTGAAACAAATTCTAAACGAGAAATGCTGAGCTGTATAAATTAATTTTTAGAAATAATTTTACAAAGGACGACCGTATTTTCTGCAGCCAAGGCATATTTTAAACTGAGGTCGAGAGGCAAGAATAATGATGTTTTCTACTTTGAGACTTTCAATAAAATTATAGAAATAAGTCTCTCTTGTTCCGATAGATATATTGTAAATATTTTGGTTTTCTTGTCATTCTGGGCTGGTTTAAGTTTCGCGTGTTTGGCTCTTTGATATCTCATTTTATGTACAGTGGTTCCTCTACTAACGAACATGTCTTCATACGAAATTTTCTACTTACAAAACGCCTCAACGGGGAAATATTGCCTCTTGTTACGAAAGAAATTTCAAGACACGAAAGGTAAAAATACAGTATGGACTGCTAGTCGCAGCTCAGAGTTTCCTGAACGCAACCGAGCATCATCTTGGCATACCATTGCTTAAGAGGGACCTCGTATCTGTCTATGAGTGTCGATGCATAGCTCGACAGAGAGATCTGTGTCTATGCAGCGTCCTCGTCATTCGCCCCTCGGGCCATGTGGTGTGCCGATAGTTTTACATAAATGTAAATCACCCAGAAAAAGTGTTCACCAGTCGGGCGATCGCTCACTCTGCTGATGTTTGCCTTGGACATTTTCGAAGGATTGTTAAAAGCCAACAAAAGTGACCGTCCTTGGATCAGTTCTTTACAAAACGCCAGGCAAAAACCACTTCTGAGAGAGAACATGGACTAAAGAGGGCAAAAAACGATGAGGACGCAGTTAAAAGTTAAATGACCATCATTTTTATTCTTTGCTCTCTTCTTTGTTTTTTACATTATGCACAACTCTAATTTATTGTGCAAAAATGTAATTGTAACATGTATTTGTTACATATTTTGATGCATTTTTATGCTTTAGAAAACATTTGTCAGATTTATTTTTTTGGTGGGGGGTGGAACGGATTAGGGCATTTACATGGAAACCGCATCTCTACTTACAAAATTTTCTACATAAGAAATTTCTTCCAGAACCAATTAATTTCGTAAGTAGAGGTACCACTGTATTTCAGATTTCGCTCCTACCTTGCCTTTTGCAAGCGCTTTCAGTTCGTGTTTTGATTCCCTGGCTCTTTGTTGCCAGCAACTTCTATTTGTACTTGGTCAGTCCTTCATTTTTTCGTTAAATAAATATTTTTGTTACGGATTTTACCCGTGACTTGGGAATTTCTCCATTGTGAGACAAATAAAGGTTTTCTTCTCTTAGATGGTGGCCTTTTTTTTTAAACGCCTTACTATATACATAGTCGTGACGACTAAAACTGACCAAGGATGAAAAAAAAAAAACGACGTAATTCAGTTCATCCTTCCTTGACTAAGATAAAAGCTTAGCACCTGATTTAAAAAGGTTCTTGACAAGCTTCCAGCAACACTGAGAACAAAAACCCAACTGTTGTTGCAAGTTCATTTAAACAGCACACAATTTATGGCTAAACTCTCTTACTGTATTAACCAAAACTTTTTTGTCACTCTTGACTTTCCTCTCGCTGCCTGGAACCGAGAGTAAACAGGACCGAGACTAAAAATAGATTTTGACTTGCTTTCTTTGTTCACAGACTCGGCCTTAAAATCATCCAACTTTTACTTATCTACCATGTACCGTTCTAAACTTCATCCACTGAAACTTCTGTTACCTTGCCGCGCATACATCCATCGTCACCTCACACTGCCTATCTTTATATTTGTGCCTGAGTTACACTCTCAATTTTTCATGTCTTCCTATAAATTTAACCCTTCTCCCTGAGGTCTTGTTTTTTCTACTCCCCTCCCTTCCCTACCCTCCAGTTTTCTGCCCAGTCGGTGGCAGGTCTTGAGAACAGGCGCTTGTGCAAGACCAGATCCATATTTGGACACGCCGATGGAACCGTGGGATGAGACTCTCACATGATACAGTACTCCTTCAAATACCCTTCCGTTCCGCTTCCCTTTCCTCTTTTTGATTTTCTTTTAGTGCAGACGGTTCCTTCGGACCTCCCATTCACCATGTGTATAAATGTGTAAATTTACCAAGAGTCAGTTGGGAGCAAATAAAAATATATCAACTAGGGGTGTGCATCTCTCCACAAAGACGATTTGATGCAATTCTCAATTCACGTGGGTATAAAATGAGTTTTAAAATGGAGTGAATCGATTCGATTTGATTCAGTATGATTATGATTTGGTTCAATATGGACCTGCTGTAGCTTTTGTCATGCCTATTAATGTGCAACATGTAAAACCTCTCCAGATCCCAAACCATCCAAGTTAATTAAATTCAAACAACAACAATATTTTTACAGTAATTGTGTGTGTGTGTGTGTGTGTGTGTGTGTGTGTGTGTGTGTGTGTGTGCGTGTGTGTGTGTGTGTTGCAGCGCACTGAATGCGAATTTGAGGGTGTCATTGTTTGTATTTTTTTTCCCTAATGCATTTCAATGGGTGTCAATTATTAGTGAATTTTGGCTATTCGTGGCCCGGGCCAGTCCCATTCCCCCGCAAATAGCGGC